GCCACAAGGACCATGAATTACCTAAATGCCACCGTGTTACAGAAATAGTGGCTGGTAAAAAGTTTGAGTGGCTGGAACAAAACTTTTTCTACCAGCCACTGTGGCTGGTAGGGGCAATTTATGATTTCCACCCCTGACTATAAATGTTGTATTTGTTGTCTGTCATTGTAGCTGGGATAATTTTACTTATTAAAGCTCATAATCTTACCACTTGAAACATCACTAGCCCTGAAGCTGCTGGTAGACATCGCGGTTGGAATTATCAAAGGTTTTTGACACCTGAGAGACACCGTAGCAACTCCTTTGCGTTTGGAGGAGGGGTGGGGAGGACCAGGGAGGATGATTCAACCACTCAACCACTAGATGTCGCAGAAAACAACAAATCCTACACACTGTGCCTTTAAGTGTCTGTTAGTGAAAGCTTAGAGGCAAAACTGAGGTTCTCCAATCTATGAAGCAGATCTGTTGTCCTCCATCTGCATTTTCAATTGCAGGTTGAGTTATTTTTACACTCTCCCGTCTGTCAAGATGCTCTGAATTCTTTTAAAAGGCCTGAGAGTCTGATATTGGCTGCGTCAAAAATGGCAGCCAGGTCCTCTGAAGGACCCAGTCTACCTGGTCGAGGTGGGTCGGGTTCCTGTTAGACTGGGAAGACTGGAAAATAAGCGGCTGTGAATTTGGACAGTCTGGCCTCCCGTCCTTATGTCATCTCGCCTAGCAACAGTGACAACGCTAAACAGAAGCAGAATTAGATTGAAATTAGAAAAATATAAATATATTAGTGTTATTACTATCACAAAACAATAAAATTAAGCTAAAGGTAATATTTGAAGAACTAACTGTCCTGCCATTGGTGCACATTTATTTCGCGTTTTCCCTCTGCCAAAAATAGAATCTAAAAACATGTCTACAAATAATAAAACTGTTAAAAATACAACCGCTAGAAAATTTAATTTTTTATATTGCCATATTATTTAAAACGTATCCTTTTCTCTCGCTTTGTCCGCCATTACTAGCATAAAAAATCTCCAGTCGGCCCGCAATGCATTATGGGATATGGTGGACCGGGAAGGATACATCGGGCCAAAGGAGGGAAGCAATCGGCCGCATCGGAGGAGTCTTTGGTTGCTGATGAATTTGGTCTTCGGAGTACCCGGCCCACCGTTTTGGACACAGCCATTGTCTTCAGAGGATTGACCACTAAGATACGAGCAAAATGCCATATTGGAAGGGGCGGGCTGTTAATGTAACCATTTTATTGTGATTGATTTCTGCACAGAATTGCATATAATTAGTTTTTCTATTGGTCAGCTTCTGCTTATTAGAAACAGCATTTACTGCAGACGTGTGTTCCCTGGCAACATGTTTTTTTACCTGATTCAATATTTACTGACAAGCATTTCTATAAAATAAAAATGATTTTCAATAGCAAACTGTGTTTCTTTGATGTGTCTCACACTGACCTAAATTTAACATGTCATGTTTGCCACATTCAACTTCACCAATTTCAATAACA